TCACTTATTTATCACTTCATAATAAACTCCAAAATTAAGTAGCTTAAATTTATTTATGGCTGTAATATGGTCCTGGCTCAGCTGGGCAGTGCTTCCGCTGGCCTCTTCTGGGGTCATTCATGAAGTGGTAGTCATCGGGAGGCTTGACTGGGCTGGACGATCCAAGTTTGCCTCACTTCCATGGCTGGCACCTCTGATGGGCCACTTATGCTAAGTGAAAAAACAGACAGATATGAAATGTCCAGAAACGCAAGTGCACAGAGCCAGAAAGCTTAGCCATTGCCTAGACTGGAGCAGGAGTAACGACTGACTGAATGGGCCCACGGGAGCTTTCTGAGTGACGGGAACATTCTAAAACTGGATTCTAGTTATAGTTGCACAACTTTATAAATTTACTAAAAAATACTATTGAATTGTACACTTATAATGGGTGAATTTTAAAGTATGTAAATTATATCTCGATAATGCTGGGTTTTTTAAAAAAAAATAGGACAAAAAGAATAACAAAGAGAAAATAAAGAAACTCCAAGGGCGATAGGTACATGAATGTCGAGAGCGGCCCACGTGAAAAGCGCACTGTGGAGCTGGAAGCCAGGTGTGACTCATGCGATGATGACGATGGTGATGTGACGGGCTGTGATTGCAGAAAACAAAACGAGGAACATGTCACCTCAAACGTAATTTGAGGTGAACTTAGCAGCCAGACGTATTTCAGTTAGACACAAAGAAGGACATTAAAATCTTTTTAAAAATTTTAATAGTTGTCAAATCTTACAGAGTTTCTTAACGTATCTCAATTACCATCTAGTGCCTATTCTTAAAATGGTTTTAACTTCATCTAGACTTCTCAGCCTCCAGAGAGGATGAAAGAAGTGAGAGCCAGCCAGCTCTGTTTTCTTGCTTCCTGGTTTCAGGATTCCCCAGCCATCATTAGAAACATTTTACAAACAGACGGCTTTGGATATTTGTTGATTTTGATGTCCAGCATCTATTTTCCCTTGGATTTATTTCCATTTCCCAGACTTCTACGTTACTAGCATATTTGGCATGTTTTTTATGCTTGTTAGTCACTGCATTTTCTGCTCAGCCAGGCTGGGGTCCAACCTAACAGCAGAGGTCCCTGATGAAGGTTCCTTGGGATGGGGGCATTCAGGAAAGCAGGACGGTGCAGTCCAAGGAAGGAAAGGCAGGAAGCTGGCAGGGAGGTTCCCAAGCCCAGTGCCAGCCCTTTATCTGGGCCTGACCACCGCCCTGCCCACAGGCAAGCTCCCCTTGCTCCTTTCTCATTTTTTTTCTAGGACCAGATCATTTCTCTTAAGGCCTGACCCCTCCTTCCCTCAGACATTTATTTTTTGACCGAGACTTCCCTAGTCAATCATCCCACCTGGATGACACACAGAGGAACTTCGGGTTGAATCCTTCACCTTCCCCCAAATGGAAAAACATCCAAGGACAAAGAAAAGAACCTGATGGTGCCCGTAGATTACCTTTAAAACAAAATAGCAGACTGTATGGTTCCAACTATATGACACTCTGGAAAAGGCAAAACTATGGAGACAGTAAAAAGATCAGTGGTTGCCACTGGTTAGGGGGAGGGAAGGATGAATAGGCAGAGCACAGAGGATTTTAGGGCAGTGACACTACTCTGTATGTCCTCTGAAGATACTGTGAGGGTGGACACATGTCATTATACATTTGTCCAAACCCAAAGACTGTACAACACCCAGAGTGAACCCTCATGTAAACTCTGGACTCGGGTGATGATGACATGTCAACGCAGGTTCATCGATTGTAACAAAGGTACCACTCTGGTGGGGCATGTTGATAATGGCGGAGGCTGCGTATGTATGGGGCAGGGGGTATATGGGAAATCTCTGTACTTTCTACTCAATTTTGCTATGAGCAAAACTGAGCAAAATTACTCTAAAAACTACTATTTAACCTATTCTAAAATTTAAATATATTTAAATTTTTTAATAAAATAAAAGAGCAGAATTGATAAGTAGAAAAAATACCAAAATCCTGGTGTTGTCATTCTGCTTCCGAATGGCATTCCCCAGAATTATATGAGGTCGTTCTCAGGATCTCACCTGCAGAAGCAGGTGCTTGATGATGGCAGCCGTTGTGGCTGTTATTCAGGATCAGTCTTCACCAACTTCCTCACTTATTATACATAACATCAGCCTAGTCCACAGATGCACAGGACAACCTCAAGCCTGCACGTCATCTGTAGAATTCAAGAAATTTCTAGGCCTATGAACAGCCCACCATTGATACATTTTTCCCCCACACCCATGCCCAGAATTCCTTCTGGCTCCCAGATTACACCCTTCATTCTTCTTGTCAGTGAACTGGACTAGAGAAGCCAGAAAAAGTACTGCTATTTTGGAACAATGGCATTAAGACAGCTCTTGACCAGGAAATGTTATTCTATTTTGCTTGCTTGTTTGTTTATGAAACACTGTGTGACAATATGAATCCTGGAGAATAGAATTTTTGTTTTGCTCACTCAGTATTTTATCAAGACCCCATTGCAAGCAGGTCACAAGCCCATGGGCTCCCTTGCCTGGGAGGGGTCCGTATCACAGGGCTGGAGGAGGTTGCCTGAAGACAACCTTTCTTCCTGCCTTTGTGAAAACCTACTCCAGACGGTCTATTCAAAGACCTACAGGGGTGGCCTGTAACAAAGGAAGGAAGAACTAGAAGGCCAGGTCCAGTGCAGAGGCTACCCAGGAGCAACCAGCCAACTGGGCTCTATCAGTAGGGAAGGCAATGCAGGATGCTCAGCTGCCCCTTTATCTAGCTGCTGTTTACCCATTTACCTTCTACTGTAGAGATAGGTTTTAATGAAAATAAGAGCTAAATTTGGTGTGAGCCAACCAAAACATGCTTGTGAGCTGCATGCAGTCCCAGAGCCCAGTTTGTGATCTCTGACCTAGACTCATTGAGGAAATTATGTGCCATGTCCTGGAGGGCAGGGGAGAGAGAGTGCTCCACACTGAGAAGGGACCCAGTCCTCTCCATGGCCATGCTTCAGGATGGTGGTGGATCCTTGTGGAGTGGCTGCATGAATCGCCTAAAGAGGTCCTCTACTCGCAGCCCCAGGAGAGATTCCTATGCTTTGGTGGCAATAGAGCTGCTGCAATCTCAGAGCCCAGGCCCACTCAGAGCAGGGCCTCTTGTGCTGACCAGAACAGTCTCCCTGATGCTTTGGGGCACTGTAAAACCCTGTCACCTTTGCAAAATCCTTGATAGTAGTCCCATTCATGACTGAGATGGATTTTCCACCAGCTCAGCAGAACAAGGGCCCAGAGTCATTTTTGATTTGATTTGAAAGGAATAAAGAAAAGTGCCATTTCTTTCTCATCTGCGTTTGTATTCTTAGATTCATACTTGTTACAAAAATAAAGCTCCCAATAGGCATTCCTGATCTTGTATTCCTCTCTACCCAAGACCCTCAGCCCCTATCTAAACCCATGCTCATCCCTACTCCCCAAGAGGCAGGGAGGGAGGGAGGATATCTTTTTCACTCATTACAATGTAATAATTTCTTTTTGAAGCTGAAAACTTAATGATTTGTTTTCTAGGTCACCTCAAAATGTCCCCAAGTCATCACTGGAACTGGCTAATCAAGGTCATTCTTCATTACAAAGTGTTTCAGATTCCTAGGGCTGCCATAACAAATACCACAGACTGGGCGGCTTAAACAACAGACATTTATTCCTCACAGTTCTAGAGGCTAAAAGTTCTAGACTAAGGTGTCCACAGGGTTGGTTTCTACTGAGGCTTCTCCTTGGCTTGTAGACAGCCTTCTTCTCCCTGTGTCTTCCCCTCTGTGTGTCTGGGTCCTAATCTCCTCTTCTTATAAGGACACCAGTCATATTGGATTTGGGTCCACCCTAGAGATCTCATTTTACCCTAACTAGCTCTGTAAAAACCCTCTCTCCAAATATAGTCACATCGCAGGTACCAGGGGTTAGGACTCCCACAGATGGAAGGTGGGGGATGGGGAACACAGTTCAGCCCATAACACAAAGATCAGGGTAGTTTCAGCCAGGACCATGAAAGTCAGTCCCCCCACATAAATGCAGATCTATTCATAGCAAAGCCAATACCAGCTAAGTCTTTCAAAGTCTTGAACCTGTTCCTCAAACTTCTGCACCATAGAGGGACCTCTTCAAAACTTACAGCATATTTGAAACAAAACTCTTTCTAGTTTTCCCAGTGAAATTTTCATAGTTCTAAGGTTGATCTTATCAAAAGTCTTTGTCAGCATAAAGCCTTCTGGATTTACATACAGGACTCGAGATAGCCACGTGGTGGCAAGGATAAGCTGGATTGCAGCCTCCTCTTTTGGTAACCAGATTGATATATAATACCCTTTATAGTCTTGTTTTGCAGCTTAAATTGTATATTCCCCAAGTCCCTTGCTGAATAAATTAATTAAATTAGGAGTGGGGCTGTTCAACTTTGAATAATGCTGGCTCTCGTCTGGGAAATTCTATATGGCTTTGTCTGGGACCTAGACCAGTTGTCTTGCCCGGCAACAACGGTTTGATTCTCACATTAAACTTATTAGTTTGATAAAAGGCCCAAAAGTGCAGACTCAAGAATCTGAAACAACCTATTTCTGAAGCCAGGGCCTGGCAAAGCGAACGATCTGTGGGAGATGGGACAGGGCCCGGGCTTCTGTTTTTGTGCTCTCCCCAAGGAGCAAACATTTCTGTGATGTGGAAATAAAGGAGTTCTTATGTATCACTGATGCTTTAGCGCAAACATTTTATAGGGAGCATCTGCCCAGGTATTCCCAAACTGTGATGCCTCACAAGTCAGGCAGAAAATGACCAGCCTCCCTCCCCAGCCGCGGGGAGCCCGCCGCCAGCCCCGAACAGTCTCACATGGATACACCTCACATGGGTACACCTCTTCAGGCCATCCGCACTCCCCGGAGCATTTGTGAGGGCAGAGCCTGAGACAGAAGCTCCAGGAAAAACAGGAAGGACGTCTTTCCTGTGAGCTGCAAGCCTGAGCCTCCTCTGGGTCCCCACTAAAGCATTTCTGTGAACTAATGTGGGGCCTCGGGGAGGGGATAGAAAAGCTACTCGGGCCAAAGGCCGAGGCTGAGCAAGTGTCTTTCATTTGTGAGCTGAGCAGCGCCGTGGGGAGAGAGTCGCATGGATATCGCAAAGACCCCTGTGTCACCAGGCCTGCTTGCCAGGCCCTGGCTGGGTTGTGTCCAGTCTCAGCTTGGGGGAGGAACAGGGGGTGTAGAGTGCAAGGTCAGGGGGCAAAACTAGGGTGAGGGAGCCTCGAGCCTCCCGCCTTCCCAGAGCCTTCCAGCCAAGTCCGCTTTTCCTTTCCTGTGCCTCCTTCCTTGGGATCAGCCGCAACCCCTGCCCACAGGCGACTTCAGAAGCTTCCAGATCTGGCCTCGAATCCTAACTCTGCCATTTACCAGCTGTGGGATCTTGGGCAGCGTGCACTATATTCACTTTCTTCATCTTTAAATGAGGCTCATCACACCTTCCTCACATTTCGTTGTGTGGATTACATAAAGCACTAAAAGAGCCTGGGCCTGGTGTTCTTATTATTGTCCTTTCCGAGGCTGTAGGTTCAGCTCCTCATGTGATAAGCTCATTGGAGAAGAAAAGCAAATGCCTTGAAGAGCAAACTCAGCTTGTCTCTCCCTGAATGGCCTCTAGGGCCAGACCCACCTGCAGGCCTGCCCTGATAGCCAGCATGGAGCACCCAGAGGCCTCTCGTCTCCTTCCTAATGCATCTCAGGAAAGCCCACGAGGCCTGGCCTCTGCTGAGCCCAGGAGACACAAATGAGGAGAGAGGGAGGCACCCCTCGTCTTGCACCGTGCTTGTATCCCAGAGAGGAGGAGTGGAGTTCTATACGTGGCGGTCCCAGAGTTGGAGGTTCTTCATCTTGTGAAAATCCAGCCAAAGCCAACAGGACACTAACTTGCCAAAGACCATCCTCCCTGTTCTACAAATGAAAGTCAAGTTTTCAAAATAATGGTAGAGAACTCTAGGACAAAAGTTTAATCCTGAATTGGTTCTCATCTTCCAGACTTTGAGCTCCTTCAGGAGAGAGATTATGGGCTACTAATGTCTGTATCCATAGAGGCTAGCAGTGTCTGGCACATAGTAACCACAGTAACAGTGCAACAAAATGTTTGTTGAATGAATAAATGAATGCATAAACACATACATAAGTCCCAGCTTCTTGGATCTCATTTCTCCAAGCAGTATTGACAACCTTGATAGCTTTCGGCAAGCTGATTAACATCAAAGCCTTGATTTGCTCATAAAACGGGGCTAAAATATGCCTAAATTTAGGAATGACTTCAGAATTCCACCTACAAGCACAGTGTTTTTCAAACTAAGGGTCTCACCACTCTCATGGGTCACAAAATCAATTTAGTGGGCTGTTTGGTTTTATAATATTGTAATTGTTTTATAACACTGTATTTTATTAATGTTAGAGTATTTTCTAACACTAGCATTGCTTTATAACACTGTAGAGGTAGGAAATAAATGGACGTAACAGAAAATATGATAGGGAATACCAGAGTAGATCACAGAGAGTAAATGTAAGTATTATTTTGTGAAACTTTTGTTTTAGTTCTGGCTTGGAATATAAAACGTATTTCTTAAGGTACATTGTGGTGCAAGGTGTCTGAAAGTCACTGTGGCAGAGCAGGCTCAATGGCCAGCTCTGAGAGAGGACAGATGTGGCGCACACATTGTGCTGTGGGGCCTCTCACCCTGGGGGCGACATCAGGGTTTTCCCAGCCTCGTGGAGTGGCTACTGCTGAGCTGTGGCACCTGCTGGGATGCGTACGCTTCCTCATGCTGCGAAGTTCCACCTGAAGGACGGGCTTCTGAGCGAAAAGCCCAGACCATGCAAGTCTGACATTTGCTATTCGAAGGGAAAGAAGTCACAATTAGAACTAAACTGGTCTCTTCTCATGGGATGCATAAACACATGCCCCAGAACCTTTTAGAAGGAATTGCAGGCAGGGGCTGTAGTTCCCATGTAAAGTCTTGGATCCAAAGGTTTATTTTAGGAGGAGCAAAGCTGAGGCTTAGAATTACAGAATCGTGAACTCTTGGAGTAAGGAAGGACCTTCGAGGTCAACTGACCAGCCCATACTCAAATCCTCTTTGCCAGGTCACTTCCAGAGAAGAGGACTCTTGCTTCCTCTCAGGAAAGCCCATTTGGTTTTGACCAGCTGTAAGTGTTCAGATGTTCTCCCTTTTATCCAATATAAAACCCTCTGCTGTCACTTTCAATTATTGATCCTAAAAGCCAAAGAGAAAAGAATTCTACTTCCCTATAAAGTCCCTCAATTGACTAATTCTGAAAAACTGACTAAAAAGTTTGATAGCCAAGTGGTTGTACAACCCTCTGAATTCAACGCAGCTCGAATCATTTTGAGGGACTTGATCATAATTCAGGTTCTTTGTTGGCCAAGTTTATTTTTGTCATTGGTTTGATTTTACCTAAAACAAAATGAGTCTAACATATAACTGTGAGGAAACCAAATATCCTTTAAGAAGATCTTTACCGATATTACCACCATCCAACCTCAGTCTCCCTTATGAAGAATTGAATTCTAAGATCTGAGCAGAGAGGTCTTCAACAAGAGAACTTATCTTCAGGGGAGAGGTGAGCTAGCAGAGTGGCTCCAGACTGAATGTCCCCTTACCCTTGTGGGCTCCGTGTTGATTTCTGCTGCAGAAACCCTCTGGTCTCCAGACAGGCACCCTTGCTGCATCATGATTCCACTTAAGCATGCTTGAAACACTCTTTCCTTGGATGCTCTGAGCACAGATGAAGTGCACAGGACTTTGTAGTGAAAAGGCACCTCCACTGCGCGAGAACAAAAAGAGAAATGGACTTGAGGCCTGCTGCTGGCACCGTGGAGTCTCAGAGTTCTCAGGCCTGCCTGGACCCTTCTCCCCCAAGCGGCGCCATTTGCTCTAGCCATGCTGGAATCTGAAGTAAGGAAAGCACCTCCCTTTATAGCCTTCAAGATTCCATCTTAAACTCTGGGGCTTCCCACTCTAGCCCCTGACCCACTTCTCCTCCCTCCTTCACTGGCTGGGTCTGCTCTTCAGTGAGCCTTAGCCAAGCAGAATCTGGGTCTATCACACTGGTAACCTCAAGCCCCCAGTGGACAGCCCAGTCTTGTAATCCGGCAGACTTGTCACTCCATGTCAGTTTACCATAAAAAGTAGAAGACTGCCTTCTCCAGGTTTAAAAAGCACTCCTGCTCGAGTTCCTGGGCCCACTCTGAGGGACCACATTAGGCACTCGGTTATTTTTCTAAGTAGAGATAAATTAGGAAACACCAAGTACAACAAATAATCACACCCTTCCTTACTCAGAGGCCACTCCACCCAATCAGGTGTCCCCAGGGATCATTCCACCATCCCCCCCACCCAAAACCCCCAGCCTAAAGGTCATCAGATCACCCCGACTACTTATTCTGGGACTCAATTTGACCCCCTGTGCTGTGTCCCAGAGCCCCAGACATTCTGATGGTGGTGAAGACTGGTCGTCCTCTTTTTCCACATGAAGTCCTACCTACTGCCTTCTCAATAGCATATCAGCCACAAGATGCAGAGAGAACCAGATGGCAGAGCCTGCCTAAAATATAGTTCTAGTCACTCATTCCACCACAAACACAAGGCACAGCACATTCTGCCACCAACTTCCCGTGAGATAGTTTTTATCACTTAGCATACCATTTGTATAAGACTTTCCTGGATGTACATACTATTCCTGGAATCTCAGAGTTGGAAAGATCGCAGAGAACCTTTGATCTAATACTGTCTTTTTACAGGGTGAAAACTAAAGCCTAAGTGATTTGCCTAAAACCATTCAGTGTGTTACTGAAATAATAAGGGCTTGTGTACCCAAGCACTGACATACTGTCCCAAGATCTTCCTGATGTACGGCCTGGGGCAGTTATAAAACATGGCCACAAATTCTTCATCCTTCCTGCTATCATGATATGGGGCTATCCTCTCACCTTTAAAGCTAGGTGGGCTCATGTCTGCTCTGACCAGTAGAGTATGGTGGAAATGATGCTACATTCCGATGTTAGGTCATCATCTCTTTTGCTTGCTGGAACATCTGCTTTTAGATCCCTGAGCCACCATGTAAGAAGTTCAACTATCCTGAGGCTGTGGACACAGGAGGCCATGAGTACACACTCCAGTCTTCAGGACCAGCAGAGCCAATCTTCTCGCTATCCCCCCACAGCATCAGACACGAGTCTGAGACCGACCAGCCCAGCCCATTATCAGCTGAATACCACCAAGTGACCTCAGTCAATTCCTCATGGAGCAGAAGAATTGCCTGCCTGAGCCTTGCCTGAATTCTTGATCCACAAAACTGTAGGCTCCAAAAAAATCGTTGTTATTTTAAGTCACTGGGTTTTGGAGTAGTCTGCTGTGCAGGAATAAATAACTAGAACACTGCATAACTTCCTACATTAGTTTGCTAGGGCTGCTATAACAAAGTACCACAAGTACCACCGGGTGGCTTAAACAACAGAAACTTATTTCTCAGTACTAGAGTCTGGAAATCCAAAATCAAGGTGTCAGCAGGGTTGGTTTCTCCTGAGGCTGCTGTCCTTGGCTTGTAGACAGCCACCTTCTTCCAATGTCCTCACATGGTCTTCCTTCTGTGCGTGTCTGTGTCCTAATCTCCTCTTCTTATAAGGACAATAGTCATATTGGATTAGTCCCACCCCAATGACCTCATTTTACCTTAATTAACTCTTTAAAGACTCTCTCTCAAAATAAGGTCACATTCTGAGGTACTGGGGGCTAGGACTTCAACATACGAATGGAGGGGGACACGATTCAATCCATAACAATTCTAAAACTGTTCTGGTCACCAATTCCAATATAGGGGTGTGGGGGTGTGGCAGTTTTCCCCACACCTCCAACAATTCTCCAGACACCAGCTGGGGGTCCTACAATTCAACT